GGGGCCACCCAAGGGTCAGTGATGGCCGCGGAGGAGGAAGGGACACCGGGACCCCGCTGGGCACCTGGCCGGAGGCGGTGGGACCTGGTCGGGCACCCTGCGGGGCTGGGTCGCACCGAGGACAGAGGCTGCGCTTGGTGGAGCTACTGGCGCCTTGCAAGGCATGGGGAGAGCCCTCGAAGCGTCCCGGCTGGGTTGCAATCCCAGTACTGGCACAGAGGACAAAGCAACTGGAAGGACAGGGTCGTGGCTACAGTACTGTCAGCTTCTGTCCCTGGATCGAATCCTTCACATACACTGCCTGAAGGAGGAGAGGTTGATTTTGACTCATGGTTTCAGAGACTTTAGTCCACGGACAGCTGGCTCTGAGGCAGAACAGTGTGACGAGGACATCTCAATCCCAGGCAACCAAGAAGCCATGAGAGCAGGAAGAGTCCGAGGAGACACCCCCTTCACGGGCCACCCCCAGGGACCTACTTCCTCCCTCGGCCCCACCTCCACCAGCACAGGCGGCTGTGAGGTCAGCGCCCCGGGATCTCCCCACCTTCCGAAGCCCCCCTCTCACCGCAGGAGCCCTTTGGGAGATGGTTTGGACTCCAGCCCCAACACTGCCCTCCCCAGAGCTGCAGCCCAGGCAGCCAGGGCACCAGTGTGCGTCCTAGTGCGTGACAGCTACAGGGCAGAGCTGGCACAGGAACCCAGGCCGTTTCTCTCCTAGCCCCGACCCTGGGCTGGGGAAGCGTGTACCTGAACCAGACGAGAAAGTTGGGTGGGCATCGATGGGTGGAGATAACGAAGACCCTCAGCTCTAATGAGCTGCTAAGACCTGGGGAAGGCTCTGATCCTGAGAGATGGCGCTTTTCTACCTCGGCTGGCGGCTGGAGTGATGAAAACTAATAACAAACAGAACAGCTTGTGCCCTAGAGAGGTTCATTATTTCAGGGTGTAGCGACACAGCTACACGACTGAATGAACCAGTGTTTCTCAGGAGACTACCTGGGAGGAGTGGGAAGCCCCACCATCAAATACCCTGTGATTTCCTCACCTGAGCTCCTGGCTCCTACTCAAGGCTTTGCTGAACCCGCCCCTCTCCAGCTACCAGCAACCCAGCTAGAAGTGAAGTAAGGACACAGCAACACCCATCGCCATGGCTGCGCAGTTTTCATTACTTTTCAAAATGTTTCTTCCTGGCTTGGGCTGGACCAACTCTGAGGAGCCCTTCGGGCA